TGATTCATTTGTTTTTTACCAAGGAGGAAACACATGGCAGGGTAACTGTGAGTTAAAACTTTAAAAATGAACTATTTTCTTTACTAACTTACAAACTTTTTAAGCCAGCTCTGTGACCCCTTGGGTCTGACTCTCAGGTAGGGAAGGCACAAGCACGGTGGTGCAGGAGACAGACGGATCATCTTGGCAGGAGCGGTGGCAGAAGGATGAGGGAATAAGAGCAGCCAGTGATGGGGTGATCAGATCGACATGTGGCTTTCATGGCAGGCTGGTTGGGGTCTCACCCCAGCGCTAAACTCCTCGGCTCTGCTGCCAGAGATCAGCAGCTCCTGGGCTGGAGCAGTGCTGGGGTGTCCAGCAAGGGGTGGCAGGAGCAGGACCAGTCTCCGTGGGTGACTCTTCTTGCTGAGTAGGAAGCTGGAGGTTTGGTGGCTGCATCAATTGGCTCAGCTGAGTCCACCCCAGCATGCAGGGCATTATGGCCCGGCATTCCCTGAAATGGTCTAGGCATCAGGTTTTTGAGAATCCCGGAAAGCATGGGCTCGAAGACCAGGGGAGCATGGCCATAGAGCCCTCACGCAGAGCATGGATCACCCCTGCTGAATGAGGCCTCGCTGCAAATCACTTCCATCTCATGCAAGAAGCATCTTTTCCCACAGTGACACAAAAAAGTCTCTTCCCAAGTCCCAGCCAGCCCAAGGAGGTCTGCTAGCAGCAGAAATGGAACTGTTAGGAGATGACCAGGCTGAGCTGGGCCAAGCGTCTTTCCAGGGCATATTTTGGGTCGAACAGCTAAACTGTGTGCTGCCAAAATCGCACTTAACCCCTCAAATGAGAACCTCTCTGGAGAGGGTGCCAAGCCATGCTTCTGCTGCTGGTCACAGCTGGAGCAGGGTAAATATTTGGATAATTAATAATTAATGTGGTGAGAGCAAAACTCCTGCTTATTTCTCTAGTCTTCTGCTAATAATTCTGCTAGTAATTTGGTGTGTTTTGAAAGAGGAGCCCAGGGCTGTGGTCCGATGGCAGAGCTTTTATTGCTGGCTCTGGACTGGCACAGTGAGGTTGTGGTGTTCAGCGGAGCTTCCCCGCGCCGCTGCCTGGGGGAGGATGCCAGGCCGGCAGCACACACTGGTGTCTGGCAGGGCACGCAGAGGGGCTGTCCTGCTGCAAAGGGCTGTATGGTGCCACAGTGCTGGAGAAAGCAGCGGGCAAGAGATGAACTATGGGGGGTGACATCTCCTGCCCACCCGGCTGTGGGCATGGCTGGGTGGGCTCTCTAGTCCTGCTGCTCTCCTCAGCTGGCTGGTGACAAACATCTCCTTCCTGGTGGGCACTGGGAAGGGACAGAGCGTTTGGGGGATGGCGGGGTGGTTTGGTGACTGCTGTTAGGTGCTCGGGGGTGGCTGCGGCAGCTCGGGGCAGGGCAAGGGAGGGGCGGGGGGCAATGCAGTTTCCAGGCCGGGGCCTGCAGCCACTGGGGCTCATGGGGATGAGGTGGGGCCTGTCTCCTGGGGCAGACGTGTCCCCTGCAGATGAAGGGCCCAGCTTGGGCTCAGTGGGTGCTGCCAAGCTCTCTGGCATGGTGCACC